AGCGTTGCAAACAGTGTCTCTTGAATCGCGGCGACATCCACTCCGAACGCCAAGAGGTTACGGAGCAGGCGGGCAGCCTTACCCCGGTCCCTCAAGCCAATCGCATTCAGAGTGGATAACTCGGTAGACATCTTCTAGGCCTTAAAAATAAAAAAGTTAGAAAAGACCTCACATACGGGCCGGAAATCTGCAGCGGATAGGACCCCGACAGATTGTCCCAGGCTCCCTGTCCCCAACTTTGTCGTCATGCGACCATCCAGGATAATCCCGCCAACGTCCGTCGGGTACGTTAGTTTTAACGTCCTATATAACGATGGGTGGAGAAGTAGTGGGACCCTCTCTGCACAATATATTTGTAATTTCTTTAAATCAGGGGTGCCTAACTCGGCTATCCTGAATTCTGGATAGGCGTCTTTCGCCTCAAATACGTGTGTCCATACTTTTAAATATTTCCTGGTGTCCCTAATGAGTGCAATAACCCCTGGGACCTTAGGGTATTTATTAGGGTCTTCCACCGATTTACCATCAATGGAGGAAAGTTTAAATAAGGGACCTAAGAGGGATCTCTTACGGATGGAGAGGTTCACTCTGCATATTTCTTCCACTTTGAATAAGTTTTTTTTTTTTTTTTCTCCGTCTGGGTGTGGTAGGGGTGGAAGTGGACCGGAGGGTAGGTGTGGAAATGGACGGCTGGGGAGGTGATTAGTCGGAAGGTATGGAGATGTGGGAGTGGTGAGCGGGACGCGAGAGAGTGAAGGTGAGAGACTACTAGACATAGGACCAGTGTCCTGTTCTTTTTGTGGTGAAGCAGAGACGGACAGACTTTTTTTCCAAGACCCACCCCGTCCTACTTCGTGCAGTGTGCTTCTTGACTGGCTTTTCTTCCTCTTCTCTGTTCCCCTTTGAGAACCGTGTTGGAGGTAATTCCTCCACATCCATCTCGTCTTCCACCCTTTTCTGTAGCTTTTGTTGCTTTTCTTGATTCTTCTGTTTGGGCTCCTGATGCTGTTCTTTCGGCTGCTGTTGCTTCTGCTGAAGCCTTTCTTTAGGTTACTCCTCCGGCTGCTCCTTGGGTGGTTTGCTGCCGCTGCTTCGTTGGGACCTCCTTCTGGGGGATCGAGGGGCCTGCTTTTGACTTCCGTCCCTTAGCCACCACCTCCTTTCAGCCATCACCAGGGGCTTTGCCAGTCTCTGACTCTACTGCAGTTGTTGCTGTCGCTGCTGTTGTTGGCTTTGTTTGTGGTGGTACTTTTTCCGGGGCATGCCTTTGCCATGTGCTCAGAGACCTCACACGACCAACAGTAGTCTCAGGCCTTCCACCACAACCAGCATATTTTTATCCCTACACGTCCCTGCAGGATGTTTGGGATGTCTCCGAAACTTTTACGTGTCAAGGTAACTTCTAATACTATGTCGCTAGTCGCGATCCTTGCCTTGCTGATCACACTAGCCACTTCCCCCACCTTGCCGTATAGGTTCAATTTTCAGCCTCTTTAGCGTCTCCTCCATGGCTTCCCTGCTGACACCAATTAGATTCCGACTTTTTACGTCGGTCGTCAGCAGGGAAATTGTCCTTGTCTTTACAGCGTCAAAGGCTTCTTGAATGGTGAACAGCTCGTTACCATTGGTATATTCCACATTTTTTTTAATTCTGCATAGTATGCAGCATCTTCTCTTTTTGTTTTTTTTTGTTTTTTTTTCCGAAAAGACATTTTTCGTCATCACCGGAGGTAGTATTAAATCCGTCATAATAGTGCTGAGCACTATTACGACAGAAATTGTTTCTTTTCCGCTTTTACAGTTTTTTAAACAAAACTAATTTTCACAGAAGTAAATACTTAAAAATATTGAAACGAATGAAGTTAATCAACCTTCCAATCAATATCCTAAAGATAAATAGTCTTCCGGAATATCTCCAATATCGTCTGATAGAAGTTGATGTCTGTCATGTCGTAGGAAAGTACTGTCTAGCGCTTCCTCATCAGCGCATTGTTTTCAGCAAAGTATCCTGTTGGAACTTTCTCCAACTCTTCTTTTGGCAATGCATGATTAAGGTAATCTTAAGACTGAGAATGAAAATTAAAATCTATGTTGAGATATAAAAAGGTTTGGCACAGGTTAATTATCTTGTCCCTTGTCCTGCAAAATCTATCTTTTCCCTTGGCTTGTGCCCAAGTCATGGCACATGAAGGAAAGATCCTAGGGTTTTCTTCTTCCGTTCCTATCTAGGTGACCAGTTCTGGAACTACTTTGGGATAGATAGTTACCTCCCCACCAGCCAGCTAGTTTGTTCCCTAACAGCATAGATACGCCTTTCATAGGCAGACTAGTAATGACACTAAATAATAGGTGTGACATTAAGTCTGACCTTTTTAGTAACCCTCATTTCAATTTCAAACATTTTCTTGAATTTTATTGGTTGTTAAATAAAAATAAGTTTCGAGAAATTTCCATAACAAAAGTCAAAACTTGTGCAAAAATAGGCTCAACCGACGTAAAAAAAAAAATCTTTCTCAAATTTCTCTAATTTAAGTGTTTCAAGAAATCCTATTGGCTAAAAAAATAAAAAATACCACATTCGCCCACGCTTTTCTCAGAAAAATTCGCAACAGCTACCAAACCTCGTTGGAACCGATTTCGTTGTTAAGAAAACTATAAATAGAAATAGTAAACGAATTCTCGTCGCATTTGAGACTCGCACACACGAAAGATACAACCGGGAATTATGTTCCGCCAACGAAACAAACTTCCTGTATAACAATAAATTCACAGGTGGGCAAACTCGCCCCATGCGGCAGAGAACATTGGGGACCGTGTAGCTCCCGTATCTCGTAAAATTTTGATGGGTATCATTCTAGTGTTATCGCCCATAAGCGAAACAGATCCGTCGAATATAAATGGTCTCCATTCCTCTTTCACATCAACAACAGATATTCTACCTGACACACTTCGGTTAGAAGAGATTAACACCTGGGGTTTATTTTGGTTTAATACCGTGAACTCCTTGTTTTGTTTGGTCCAACAATTTGACACGATGTGACCGACTTTATTACAATATTCACACATTAGCAATTTCCAGCCCCATTTGTTTATTTGCCGAGATCTTGATGACTGGAATTTATTTCCTTTAGGATTTGTACCGCTTGAGTTCGTACTTGCACTTATATACGCGGTAAATGACCGATTAGGCATGCACGATTGGTCCGACAGAAAACTCTAACCCAAACTATCCCAAAATCTTGGACCAGAACCACTTCTAGGTCTGAACAACCACTGTATTTTGATGTATTGCGTTTGTGTCAACGCATATTTGTCCGCAGGAGTGCCCACTTCTTATATAGTATCTACTTTTCTTTCCCCAAGGTATATTTTTGTTTTCAGAAACACATTCTTTGAACTCTTTGAGTCAGTTGCCTTAGTCTATCATGGTCATCTTTGATATTTTTCGACTGGCTCCACCTGTCAAAATAAGTTTCTTTTTCACTGGAAAACTCGACGTAAGTTTGACCATTTGATTTTTTCCCGTAACTTCTTGAACCTTTGACGGTAAACTTCAGGCACTAATTCATAAGTTTTAAGGATGGCCGACTTTACAATATTATAACCATCAGTCTAATAATGACAGGGTGGCATATACATTCTGGGCTTTACATTTTAGTGCAGTCTAGTACCGTCCTGGGTAAGACGATAAACTACATCCAGCAGCAAGGCCTCTGATCAGGAGGTTTTGAGGAGCGTGGAACCACCTCTTAATTGCTGACGTTCCCAGGTCCACCCTGACCCGGGGTGGTAGCACCTGTTAGGGTCCCAGCTATGGGCAAATAGTTAACCCCGAAACTGAGGTAAAAAGCATTATAAAAGTGTAAAAATAGGTTTTAATGCCAGAAATACTTTGTAAATTATTACCAGAAATAGTTTTGAAAAACAAAACTATTACCAGCAATATAATTTTGAAAAAAACAAAACGAAACAAAAAAACATTACCAGCAATACATGTTTTAAAATATTACCAGAAATAGATTTTTGACAAAACAAAATATTACTAGAAGGGGAAAAATTGTCTGCATTAAATAACCCATTGAGGTTGATATGCTGTAGAACAAAATAAACCAAATCATTCTGTAGTAACATGGAACTTTTGGTCATGGGTCATTCCAAATTAAAAGTAACTTTTTTGAAATTCGAAAAATATTGATCTACTGACACTTAAAGTTCGGTACTAGCCTAACCTGCCTTGATAATTCAAATTCGTTCCGTCTACCTTCACTAATTAATTGATTTACGTCTATTTCACAGAACCATGTCACCTACTCTACCTCTTTCAGTTTCGGCTTCGATTCTCATGTTCAAATTCAACGGGATAACTCGTGTTTCTACTGGTAATTGATCTAACATACTGTAATCCAAGATATCATTATCTACCATATACTCTGTAATCACCCTAACTAGTTGTGATTTGTGCATAGACTTCCTTACATCTAATTCCAAATTACCAATTTCTAGTATATCATCTTTTTTTTAAGTCTTAGTAACTTTTCTTTGACTTTAAGAAACATTCAATTACAGATATCTTGGTATGCCACGTGGCGGCACACTAATATAAGTATAATTCCAACTGACCTAATCCCAGACACGATCCCCCAATTTTATATATTATGAATTCATAACATATAAAAGTATGAATCCCAGATTAAAAGAAAAAATGGAGATTTGCTCAGATAGGAACATACAAACAGGTATCTGACGAACAACAAACACTAGACTAACATTTTGTAAATAAATTTTATATAACAAAATACAAGGTATGGAGTGATAGTCACAATAAAAGAACATTTAATTGATATTATTAGTTCAAATGCTTGTGCTTCAGGAATTTTGTAGTTCGATTATTTGAATGACAGACAGAATGTTTACAAAAGTTCTTTCTTCCGCAATGTGAAATATAGAATTCAGGATAATGTTTGTTCCGTTTCCCCTTGGTTACATGGATTACGTCTGGGATGAAAGTTATCGGCACACCCCCTCCTACCATCATCGTTTGCTCCGAACCTTTTCTTTTTCTCTCCTTTCATCGTCGTTGCTACCCTGTGAGCAACGACCCAACACTTTCGATGCTAAGGTACGTGACCGCTTTGGAACGAACATCCATTCAAAGTTTCTTTGGACGCCCTCCGCATTTATTTCAACCGTCATCTCAGCAGCTACGGCCAACAGAAAGTAGTATCTAGATATACTGAATGAATACCAGGAGTTGGTTCATCCACACACACACACACACACACACACACACACACACACACACGGGTCGTGAAGCACCAAACCACTCATTGGGACCACCCGTTTTCTCCCGTCCCCGCCGCCTAGCTCCTGACAAGCTGAAATTTCGCAAGCAAAGCTTTCGACCAAATGCTCAAGGATGGAACTGTCCGTCCATCGGACAACCCCCCCCTACGCGTGCCCCACTGCATCTTGCGGCTAAGCCCGGAGGTAAAGACTTTCGTGTTTGCGTGGATTTCAAAAAAATTGTGCTGTTTCTTATTTTACCACACACACATACACACAATAAAAATTAATTCACACCACGTGTATTAAAAAAAATACAATTGCGCGGGAATTCATTCCTTACCATGCCCTGTGGGGTCAAAAACAAGGACGGCGCACCCAAAAGTTCGGATGTAGTGAAAAGACACCACGTGGTCAAAAAATAGGATTTATTGACCAATCAGGACTCGACATAAGAAACCCATTTCTTAATCTCCCGGAGCCTCATCATTCTTATATAAGGAAGGTAGAAACTCTCATCAGAAAGGAGAGAGAACAGCGACAAGCTGACATCAAAGCGACACGGACAGTTTCGAGAGCACACACACAGAGGATTCAGCCGTTCACACAACAGGCAGTATCACGTATCAGTGAACATTCTTTCACCCTCTCTTTCTCTCATCTCGCTCGCTACACATAGTCCTACCTTTCCCTCTCACATTCCCAGTTCCTTTTTTCTCTTTTCTTCCGCAGCTTTACGGACAGTTTCATTTTGTACAAGGAAAAAAATAATTCTTTACAAAAATAAACAAAAGTTTATTTTACTTTATTTGTAGTGTATTTTCTTTTTATTATTTGTTTGAGGGACTTCTTTGCACCCTCTACAAATTAAATTCGACAACAGTAAAGGACCGGTACCCCGTTCCCCACCTGCAAGATTTCACATCCGGCCTACAAGACGCGAAAATTTTCTCGAAAATAGACTTAAAAAAAGCGTACCAAGTTTGGAACGAACATCCATTCAGTTTCTTTGGACGGTTGGCATTTTGCCGCCAGTCAAACGGCCACGTGACTCATCGGATACCCGCCAAAAAGTATCCACAAGTGAGAGACGACCTACGGGCATCGAGTCGGGAAGACGTATTTTTACATCTCTCTCTCTCTCTTTCTCCTCTCTCTTTTTTTTTCTTCCCCTCTCTCTTTTAACAGCCTAGACTTCGGCAATAAACCTTTTTCATAGTCAATTCGTTTGCCGAAGCTACCTTCCATCAATGTAGACTCTGTCTTAGTCCAACTTTCTGACCTAACCTCCTGTCTAGGGCAACAAGCATTTTCGTCACGGACCTGCCTAAACAAGTCAGTCAGAAATCCACAAGCTTCCACACGTGGTACCTATACTCTCTAGATCTCCTCCCTCTTTTTTGGTCTATACTTCTTACAGGCAACGAACGCTTTTGCAGCTCAGTAATCTTGGTGCCTCGGTCGAAATCTCACTACCAACTGAATTAGTTCCGTCACTAATTTGCTTCTGATTTTTTCCTTTCCTACTAAAAAAAAATAGGATATTCTTAGGTAAAGTTGCCTCCCTTATACTGTTTGTTTTAAAAAAAAAAAAAAAAAAGAAGGAAACTTTCCATATAACCGTTTTCCACGTTTTGGACTATTCCTTCTCCAAGAACACTTGGCGCCAACATTGCTACGTTTTTGGCGCACAACAGCATCCGACTATTAACGCCAGGCTCACATTGTGAAGATTTGGTTGAACCACTTTTCTAGAGACCAAGAACTCTACTTTACTATTCCCTTCTCTACTGCACCCTGTCAAATTTGTTGTTGAAAAAAAAAAAAAATTACATCCTGTTATGCCTTTTCTTATCTAATGGTGTTTGTCCACTTTTTACATTGCTAACTTGTCATGAACCATTGATGTTCTAAAGGAATATCAAAAATACCCTTATACAGAGAAGTTTGGTAGTCTGGCACAAAGCCATCGCAAGAAACCGCACTAGGCAACCAGGCTTCTCCTAGTTGTTTTCTTTGACTATTTAATGGGTAAAGGAAATCGTACCCAAATACATACAAATAGGCCAAAGATGTCTGGGACAAATTTTTTTTTATTTCCGACACAACAAGTAATGGAATAGGCTTTTCGCATCCCTTACAATCACATGATGACAGTTTATTTTTCTCACAAACTGTTGTCGGCGGAGGTCATCAAGAAACTAAGTTACAGTACCAAAATTCCACTTGGTGACGTATGTCATGTGATTGTAGGTGACCTATTCTTACTTGCTTTCATAGGAGGTCATTCTTTCCAGCCCTCTCTTGGCTGAAACATGACTTAGTCCAGATTAGTATTAGTAGTAGAAAAAGAAACACAAGGATAACACGTCTCTTATTAAATTTATTGTACTTTGATTTAACTGTTAATATTGAGGGCCATGATAAGAGTGAGATATGACAAAAATCTAACAAGGTGGTGTGTACTTACAACTAATCTTTTGGCTTTTCTAGTCAGCTGAGTACTTTTCACAAGTGATCTCGGATATCATGTAGCATTAAATATCATTGTGCTTTGCTTAAGCTCAATGGACAATGGTTTAATTTTCAGTATCAAGATTAAGACATTAATGACAAATCTTCCAAGGCTGTTTATACTTTCAACCATTCTTCCCAGTTAGGATTTCATTCTCCAAATTTTAAGACTTGTACATCTTCAGTGGTTATATTTTCAGGAGACTTAAGATTCGTGCTTTGATATTTATAAGTGCCATCAAGAGAATTAAAGCCATTCTATGTTCCAGTAAAACTAAAATAAAAACATATATTAAAAAATAATAGCTTTGACACCTATCACATTTTTATTACTGGTGTTTTATTCAGTAAATATTAGTTTTATTTTCATCCTGTCCCAAACAAGAAATTTTACATTGCCATAACTGAGAATTCCTCTTTGAGTCATTTCCTTTTAAGGCCAATAGATGTTAGAAATTTATTTTCATTTTCCCCCAAACAAGAAAAATTTTATATACAACTGGAGATTCATTCATTTCAATGAGAATCCATCTTTCAATCATTTCTTTGGTAACGTAAGACCAATAAATGTTAGTTTCAGTTTCATCTTTTTCCCAGCCAAGTATGTTTCCATAGAACTTTGGAGTTTTATTCCCTTAACTAAGAATTCTAGTTCAGTTCCTTAAAAGATAAGCCCAGTAAATAATACGAGTTTTTCATTCAGTCAGCTATATACCATACGTGATACATGCTGAGATAGTCATGTATCAAAAGACGCATGATTAACGAGGCAGTTTTTTTCCCCACAATGTGTCTATATTTCTGAGATGAGGTATTGTAATTATTTACATTGTTTGGACTGTTGTCCTCATCTTTATTGTCATGTTCACAATGTTTTGGTCGTTGCACGTACCAGCCTTCTGATTGGAATTTCAAATTGAAACCTTTATTTCATCTACAGGGGGTAGATTGTTCTAGTTCCACATGCCATGCCTCTTCCGGATGTCTCGGTTATTTCCCTTTAACTCAACTCACCAAGTTTTTGTTCATCACTGCAGTAGCTAAGTATTGAATTCACATCTCTTTGGGTCAAGTCAATGAATCCAACCAACGCTTTTATCTACTGTCCTTGAGGTTTATTTTTGTCTTGTCCCAACATTTCATTTCTCTCAATAAGATTCTCTTTTTCTTTTCTTTTCTTTTTTTTTTCTTTTTTTTTTTTGTTTGTTTGTTTGTTTGTTAAATCATAAACCAAATAAATGTTATAGATCCATCTTTTATCCTAACCTAGAATGTCTCTCCAATATGAATCTCTCTTCTGATCATTTCTTTCATAAAACATAAGCCAAATGTTATAGTTTTATCTTTTAGTCCAAAAACATTTCCATAGACCATGGGAATTTTGTTCCCTTAACTAAGAATTCCATTTCATGTTTAAACGATAAACCCTTTAAATGTTCCTAATTTATTTTCCTTTTATCCCCAAAATTCCATTTCCTCCAATGAGAATTCCTCTCCTGATCACTTCATTGGTAACATATAAATGTTATATTTTCATCCTTTTGCCCATCAAGAACATTTCCATACTCTGGAGTTTTTATTCCCTTAACTAAGAATTCTACTTTGGATCATTTTCTTTGTTAAAAATAAACCCAGTAAATGTTACAGCCTTATTTTCAACTCCTAGCTTTTTATATATATTTTATTTAAGTATAAAATGATTTATATGATAGTCTTAATAGAAGCAATAACATTATCTTTTTTTTTTTTTTTTATTATATTGCTTTCTCTCATTGTAAAATCTGTTTTATTATTAACTTGAAGAGTAATGACGAAACAATTCAATCCAGAAAAATACAATTTTTTTTTTTTTTTTTTTTAATCATATCACCCCATGCTAATCTGTAAAACCACTAAGACACAAAGGGTTACTGAGTGTGAAAGAATAAGAAACAAGAAAAATTGAGGGAGAGAAAAAAAGGTGAGTGATCAAGAAGAGCATTGCTAATAATTGACCTTGCATTTAAATTTTTGAAGATCAAAAGCATAGAACCAAAAAAAGAGTCCAAGAAAAGAAACCGTTAGCATAGAACTTAAGGTTACATCTAGCCAATTCAACTGTGAATTGATGAGATCTTGCAGTTTAAATTCATATCTGGGTACCATAGTGAAGAGTTCATCTAAACAATTACAATGAAAGTATTTATAGAAAAAGCACTGGGAAGCTACATTATAGCTGATGCTGAGACACCAGCTCAGGACCAGTAATATTGCTGATTTGTCTTTGGATTTTATAAAGAATCTCTATATATTTATACAGCAGGAGCACCAGACCATATATGGCAGCAATATTTAAAGCAAGGATGAATGGCAGGATTATACAGATGTAAGATAGATTCATAGAAGAAAAATTGTCTAGCACAATACAGTAAATCAAGAAATTATTAGCAGCAGACTTCAATATAAGGTATTCAATATAATCTTTTCACTTTGTCAGCCAAGAATGTAAGACCATGAAGGTGCAACAAGTTTCTCTTATGGAGGTTAGTATCCATCATACTGATAGGAAGCAGGAAAGGGGTCTTTCAAGTCATTGATAAAGAAGTTTTGTTTTGAAGGTGTTACAATTAACAAGCTATTCTTTGCCCCAGTTAACAACAGACTAGGTCATTTTTGTTCAATTTTTGAAATCTGACTGCTTATTTTTACATTTGAAAATCTCATAAGTTTATTTGAAATCTGTAAGATTTCAGATTATCTGAAATCCTCAAAATCTATTGCTCTTTTTAATAATTTAATTATTATAAATTTGGCTGTTTTATTGTCTAGAAAATATTTATAATTTAACCATGACTCCGAGTGAGTCATGAGTTCTGTGACAGTGAACTTGAAAAGCTTAAGTTTTCACAGTTGTCTCTCTGAGAAAGTTACATTTAAGAAAAAAGACCATTCAAGATCTGATATTCAAATATTTCAGACAGGAATAAGCAACAATAAGAGGTCTATTTGTAACTTTAATTCTAAATGATACCAATGGAAAAATTGGCTCTACAGCTGTAAAGCAAAAATAAAAATGCATTGTTTTGTTGTTTGCTGTTTAGAGGTAATGAGCATAAAGTACGGTTTTAGAAATATAAAGAAAATGAAAGAAAAAAAATCTGAAAAATGAGACATTAAAGAAGCATATTGAAAATTGTGATTTCACTGTCACTTTTAAGAAATATAAACGTTAGGGAGAAACTTAGTGACCCATACAGACTTTCAGTCAATGAACATAACAGGAAAATTAAAAACAACTGTGAAATTTTATCCAAAATAATGGACTATGTTTTATTTTGTGGAAATTTTGTAACTGACATGGATATGATGAAAAAGGTGATTCAGTAAATCCAAGAGGATTAATAAATTTTGCCTCTAAATTAGATTCAGATTTAAAGAGTCACTTAGAAACCAGTGTAGTTTCAAATGTGTTTCTATGACCATTCAGAATTAGATACTTGACAGTCTGCTACAAATATATCATAAGATAAGGACAGAAATTAGGGAAGATTCGTTTGTAGCCATTATGGAACACACTTATATGGTCATTGTTCTATGGTATGTGCTGGATGAAGAAATATTTCAGCATTTTGGGGGATTCTTTATTCAAACTGTAGATTGCATATTAAAATGTATTCTAGAACAATTAGACA